TTAAAAATCGAGAGATTTCGTCATAAAACTACATAATTTGACGAGATTTTGCAAAAAAAAAAAAACAACTAATAAGCCGCGACTGACTCGGCTGTGACCAACAGTCGAGCGAAAATAAATAAAAGACGATTCGGCTAAACTGCAGACAGTGTTTGGTCCGAGCCAATAGGGGGGATAAAAAATCACCAAAAAGTAACTGTCTGCTCTTGTCAGATTCTGCAAAAAAAATCTGTTTCTCGGTGCAAATGAGAAACCATTAGTGACTCAGGTGTGACCAACAGTCATGTGACAAAAATTCAGAAAGTTTTCGGCTGAACTGCAGGCAGGCGGTGTTTCCACAGAGCAGAAAGGGGAAGAAAGTACAAATAGTAAAATATCTATAAATTGTAGAGTCTCCTTTTTTTTTTTTTTTGCAGTCACACCTGTGGGCACTTAGAAAAATGTTTTAAATATTCATTCATGTTTTTTTTCAGTTTTTGTAAAATGCATAATCAAAGAATTTCATTTTCTGAGTTCTGGTTCCTTCTATCTGTGGTTCTTCTGTTTCCATCGAGCTGCAGGACTTCATGTTGCAGTGAAAAATGATCCCACAGTGAGTGAAAATGTGACGGAAGCAAAAAGCTGGGAGGGTTCAAGCTGCAGCACTTTACTTGAGTGCAGTTTTTTCTGGACTCGTCGGCTGAAACGAAGCTTTCAGGGCTTCAGCCTCGAATCCTTTCACTCGGCTGCTCGGTTATATTTTGTTCTGCCTGCTGTCAGTCAGCTCACACTCAGAAGAAGAAAAGAAAAGGAAAAAAAACCTCCCGGTGGCATCGACCCAACTGACCTGCCAGGACGGCGACACACAGGTGAAGCCGACAGACTGTAGTTCAGAGGAGGGTTTGGAAAATGATTTCTGTTATTCCTACAGATGAGACACATCTGGACCCCAAATACTCTTCAAACATCAGTTGAATTCTATGTAAAGTCCTGTTTTTATTCAACAAACTGGAGACAACACTGACATCTATGAGTCTTTAGGTTAAACTTAAAGAGACTTCAGATCTTTTGTTATATCTTAAACTTTATCGTGTGACGTTTCTGCTGGAAGCTCATGTTTACTCATTCAAGCTTTGTTTATTTATTTAAAGATAGTTTTATTTATTTGGTTTGTTTCACTTTTTCTGTTTTGCTTTTGAGACATAATAATGTGTTTTATTATTTGTTTAAAAGACAGTAAGGATTAAATTTGATGTTTTTCATAGGAAAATATAAACTAAGCCAAACTAAGATAAACTAAGATTAGCCGTCATAACATCAGACAAGATAAGTTAAGATAAAATATGCTAAGCTAAAGTAAGCTGAGATAAGATAAGCTAAGGTAAACTAAGCTGAGGTACGATAAGGTAAGGTAAGAGAGGTTGAGGCAAAATAAATTAAGATAAGATCCAATAAGCTAGGCTAAGCGGAGCTACAATAATATGTGACAATATTAGCTAAGCTAAGATAAGCTATCTTGATTTATCTTCAGCTTATCTTGACTTATTTTGTTTTATCTTATCTTATACCTAAGCTAAGATAAGCTGAACTAAACTAATCTAAGATAAGATAAAACAAGATAAGTCAAGATAAGCTAAACTAATCTCAGATAAGACAAGGCAAGGCAAGATAAGTTAAACTAAGCTAAACTAAGTTAAACTAAAATAAGACAAAACAAGACAAGCTAAGATGGGTTGAGGTAAAATAAGCTAAGGTAAGATCAAATAAGATAAGCTAAGCGAAGGTACAATAACATGTGATAAGATAAACTAAACTAAGATAAGCTATCTTGACTTATCTTGTTTTATCTTTTCTTAGATTATTTAAGATAAAATAACCTAATCTAAGATATTATTTAAGATAAAATAACCTCATCTAAGATAATATGAGCTAACCTAAACTAATCTAAGATAAGATAAAACAAAATAAGTCAAGATAATCTAAACTAATCTAAGACTAGACAAGGCAAGATAAGGTAAGCTAAGATAAGTTATGCCAAGCTAAACTAAGCTAAACTACAATAAGATAAGACAAGCAAAGCTATGCTAAGATAAGCTGAGCTAAAGTAAGATACATTAGCTAAGATAAAATAAGATAAGTGAAGATAGGCAAAGATAAGATAATCCTTTATTGATCCCACGGCGGGTTAATCTGTGGTGTTTGTAGCGTAGCGTTACATCAGCAACGGATAAAGAGAAAAAAAACATAGAAAACACCAGAAAAATAATAATAAACAAGAAATACACATAAGAACTGTTGATACTGTACAGACTCTTTTAAATGTGTAACTGGTTTGATGTTGCACCAGATGCATGGAATTCCACAGAATTTTCTTTTTAAAGAAATTTTATTGCGCAATTTAAGCAACTAAACTACACGACCTGCAGGTGGCACCAAAGTCAAACCTGCTGCAGCAGTTTCCGTTCGTAGTGACGTCGGGGTCACACTGTTGTTCTTCGTGCTGCTGAGGCTGCAGATCTGGACTCAGCCCGCGTCCTTGTCGGACAAAGTGCTAATTTAAAGATGTGCCGTGACCCTTAAAGACGCCGATGTTCCGCTTTAACGACGGTGGAGGCGTGTCGGCGTGTGCGGTTCTGTGACTCACCCAGTTGATGAGGATGTATCGTGGCAGAGCGGCGGTGGGATCCTTCAGGCTGCAGAAGCCGTACATCACCCTGCCGTTGTCAAAGGTCAGCGTGATCTCCGGCAAACCGCCTCCTGCAGCAAGAACGAGAGGCTGCGTTAGTGCTGCAGCGCCGTGGCAGCTGGCGGGGAATGTTCCCGCAACATCGGACAACAAAACCTACAAGTTCTAAAGCATTCTTGAAAGAAAAAGTTTAAATCAAATGTTCATCTTCACTTTTATTTTATTTTTTTTTACTATCTTCCAGGAATCCTTTAAAGTTAGCACGATGTTGTGATGTCAACATTCAGAGGACGTTCTATGATGACCAAAGAGGAATGCTCTCAAGCAAACACTCAAAAAACATTTCCTGATGTTCTTGAGGCCTCGGACGTATTTTAAAACGTTCCTGTCCAAATAAATCCAAACAAACAAACTGGAACATGTTGGTTCCATTTTTTTAAAGTGCAGAAAACAGGTAATCAAAGAAATTCAACTTCTGTTGATATTTTTTGTTGACTTGTGTCATTAAAACCGTGTCCATCTGCATTTAAGATATTTCTGGGTTCTCTCTCCTTCTTCATGACTGTTCTGTTTCCGTAGAGATGCAGGACTTTATGTTGCAGAGAAAAATGAACCCACAGTGAGGAAAAATGTGAGAGGAGCAAAAAATAAACAGAAACTGCTCGGTTTATAGGAATAAACAGATCTCAGATTGAAGTGCATGACAGCCGGCAGTATAAAGTCATTAAATGAGGTGGACTGCAGGAATAAAACGCGTCTTTGATAATAATGTAAAACCACAGATAAGACTGTAACTAACAGATATGATATTCTAATAAAGCTTCTAAGCTTCGACTTGCAGTGGCGTCGTTTTTCGTGGTTGGTGTGCAGGAAAGATCAGGAGACTTTTCCACGCCGCTGAACGTCTTCCAGCCTGTTAGCTTTAAGCCTCCGATTAGAATCGTGTCCTCCACATACTGTATCGGTGTAGCTTTCTGCAGCGCTACAAACACACAAACATGGCCTATCAGCTCTGATACGAAGCGGCAGGCGGATTCCTCTGAGACTCCCTGAGCTGCGTTTCCTTTCAGCTGCTGCTGAAATATTCACGTCTCTCAGAGGAGAAGCTGCAGACATGAAGGAAGCTCAGGATGGTAGAAGGTCTGTTGTTCTAAAAAATATGACCAGATTGGTTGTTTGTGCCAACAGGAGGGTTGGGTTTTATTGTTAATTGACCTCGAGAGTATCTATGAGACAGGAAATGATCCTGAAGCTACATCTGTTGACGTTAAAGCGCCATCTTGTGGTGGACGAGGTGAAAAAACAGTTGCTGTATGTGCTGCCTTCAAATGGAACTCATGTCAAAAAACTCGGAGGCAAGTTGTGAGAACATCGCCGCTAACAAACGCTAATGTGAACATCACTGCCAGCTACTGGTATCGTTATTTTTATTGGCTGATTAGCGTAAAATATAAAAACCCAAAACTTGTCTCTCTTTGCCTAAAGTCACTCTGACATCTCAACAATGTCCCGCCCAAAGTGATCTGATTGGCTGCTACACGTCACAAGTAACAGCCAATCACTGAAAGCTATTGTTTACACAGAGAGGCAGATGAGCCCTTTTTTTCAGAGTGAAGCCGTCATAGTGAATTAGCAGTGCTGCGATTGGATGGTAAGCTACTTGTTCTGCTGGTGGTGCTAGGCTCGGGTTATTGCTGAGAGGTTTGCTGTGCGTCTTTGCCTGCAGCTAACGCTAGCTGTAGCAACTTAACATCATTCTAAAGTCAGATTAACTTCAACACTCTGTTCAAGGTGATCTCTTGCAGAGACGCAACCTGCAAAAAACTGAACAAGAAACACAAGCCGTCGCCACATATCAGCATAAGCTGCTTTCATGACGGCTAAGGAGACGCTAACAGCTAGCTGCTAAATTAGGAGGCAGCCACAGATTAACTTGAATCAGAGTCTGAAAAACTGATAATTAATAATGCTTTAAGACATCAACCTTAGTGGAAAATAAAAGTAATAGAAAAGAAAAAAATCTCAATTCAGTAACAGTATTCCTCATAAATGAGAGGTTCCTGCTAGCACATTCCAAATACTGGTCATTGGCCTTTCTTGATTACCAATAATCGATATTGACATCTGCCCTAAAAAAACACATTGGTTGATCAGCGTCAGTGTCTAGAAGACACCACGGATAAACATTAATAAGCTAACGAGAGATTCTAACCGACTGTCAAACCTCGGGAACGGAAGGAACAATGTGGGTTTAGTCTTGCGGTGTTGTTTGGGGGATCATGGGAATTTGACCATTAAGTCCACATGGGTTTTGTGGACTGGAACACGGCCTCATAAGCGATACCAGGGTCTTTGTTGGAAGCCATCTGGTTGTTGTACCACCAAAGTAAGAGCTGCATTCGTACCGAGGAAGATTTCCAGTTTGGGAACCTCAGAGTTGCGTTGCTGTTCCTTTGCAGATGATGTAGTTCTGTTACGGTTACCAGACCTCGACCTTTACTTGAACAGTTGAACGGTCAGAACCTCCCAGTTTGAGGTTCTCTGTCGTCTGGGTTGGAGGTCAGTTGCTGCCGCAAACAATAGAGTATCTTAGGGTCTTGTTTGCGAATGACAGAAAACTGGAACCTGACACGTCGAGTTATGTTCCAACCCAATTCCAATCTGGATGCTGACCAAAAGAATGAGATACAAGTGGTTGAAATGAGTTTCCTCCAAGGAGTTTGGTGTGGATGCTTGGGAATCTGACTAGGACGCTTCTTTTGGAGGTTTTCTGGTACATCCAACTGGTAGGAGACCTCAGGGTAGACCCAGAACTATGCCTGGGAACGCCCCAGAAGGAACTGACAAACGTCTAGAAAGTCTGGAATTACCTCCTCAGCCTGCTGCTATGACAACACGACTCTTGATAAGCATCAGAATACAGATAATTGGAAGGATAAGCTTGGGAACTGCATGATGAAAAAACAAGGTTTTGGGGATATAAACTAGTTCATCAGACATTATATAAAATACAAGAAAAGCCTCTATACCGGAGACTACAATTAAAAACATACTTCCATGGGTCCTGGCACTTCTGAAAACATCAAACAGAAAATGTTTGCGGACGAGGTCATAACAAGACGTCGGCATTCCTATAGACTCTTCTCTAATCATGTTGGGAGGAGGTTGGGGTGAATGGATGGGTTGACGAAACGTGGGCGCTTTATTTCTTTTAACCTGTTTGTTCTCGTAGCAGCAAGTATTTGATATATGACGCTAGAATTTCACAAATACCTTAACAAACATACATGTTTGTGATTGAACAATTTCAGGAAAATCACGGACGGTTGAGCAGAATTTGTTGTAAAAACCTGATGATTTAAGACAATGCGATCCACCTGGTGTTGTGTTGTGTTGGTCGAGGACTTCAGACTGGTTTGTTTTACACAAATCTGAGAAAAGACGTTTTTCAAGAAATTCAAGACATGGACAGTAAATCTAGTTTTGGGTAGATTTGGACGGAGCAGGGGCACAGACTGAAGAAACAACGCTCTCAAATCTGAAAGAGCCCACTTTAAATGAAGCAATTTCATAAACATGCATGTAAAAAAGACCACCTTCGCTTTGTGCATTTATTGGTTTAGTGTCCTCAGAAATACCTCAGTTCCTGCTGTGGATGACGAACCAGCGCCAAAGTACACATTTATACACAAATTAAAGCTGAATTATTCATTGCGTCAACAAACTATGCTCTTACGCGCGTAATAAAAGTGATTAATTCGGCTGAAATGAGCAGAAATTGGTGGCATTTAGGCTTCATCTCCATTATCACACAACCCAAACCGTAATGCGACGACATTATTAGCGTCTGCTGCGCGTACAGGATCATCAGCGATAATGAATCTCTGCAGACAAAGCACATGATTGTTCTTTTTTTTTTTTTTTACCCCCAAAGCAGCAGCAGAACCTGCAGAGCTCATCAGATTTATGGCCACATTAAAACGTTCTCCGGCAGCCGAGTTCATTAGAACCACAGATTAGAACAGCGAGACGTCACAGAGGAGGATTCACAACTGAAAAAACAGAAGAAGAAGAAAAACGTACCTCCGGATGATGACAGCGTCAAGTCATTAGTCTCATCCTCATATGTGTACAAGGCCCTGAAAACACACAGAAAACACTCGTTAGACACACAAAGCAACAAGCTTCAGTTTGAAAAAGAAAAAAAAAGACTTAAACAGAGGTTAAAAAAAAAAAAGACACAAAGGAAGAAGAGCTGACTCAGCGGATTGAGTGACTCAAAAAATGCACATTTCACACATAAATTCTGACATTTTACTGTAAACCGATGCAGGAACAAATAGGTGCATTAAAATGTCCAGAATACAGAAAATAAAGCATCTGATGCACAAAATTTGCTGGTTCAAGGAAACAAAACCAGCTAACAGCTAACAACAAGCTAACTACGTGATTTTTTTTTACCGTCTGAAGGCAGAAAATGAATAAAATTAAATATAAAACGAATGATAAAGATTGTACACAGCTTCGTTATCATAACAGCAGGAAGAGCGTGAACACTGCGACTGAAGCCACAGGTGTAGAAGTAAATCAAAGGAAAAGAAAACTTCCTGGAGGTTGTAAAAATCAACGGAGAGAAAGAAAAAAGCATTTAAAACTCAGAGAAGCTCAATAAATAATTCTCTTTAAAGGCAGACGGCTGTTTATTATTCATATAAAACCCCGACGGCCTAAAAATAGACGAAGAAGCAACCAGAGACGAGAAGAACTGAAGAGGATTCAGTTAATCAACTAATCAGACTCAATCCAGAGCATCTTCATCATCATCATCATCATCATCGTCATCATCATCATCATCATGTCTGCGTCCAATCAGGACGAAGCTCTCATCTCAAATTTACATAATTTATTCACATTTAAATCAAAGTTTCTTTCTGTTTTTGTAAAAGGAGCAAAAGTAAATAAACGGAAAAACCCCCCCACAAGTTTTCATTCTGTGGTCAAAAGCTGTCTGCACTGTAAAAAACATTTAAGATGTTTAAGTTTTTTTTTATTTTAACAATTTACTGTTATTTTACAGATTTTCGCTGTTTTGCTAAATTACTGATGAAAACTACTAAAGTCAGTGTTTTACATGTTAACCTGTTTATCTGTATTTTTACAAACAGAAATGTCTCCGACAGTGTTTGTGTCGTTCTTACTGTATTTAAATAATCAAAATATGTCATTATTTGACAGATATTTGAGTTTATTTAGGGAAAAAGTATATGAAGGTTTGAAAAACAATGTTTTTTAATTTTATTGTTGCAGGTTTCCCTGTTTTGTTAAATTGCAAATATCGGCTAGTAAATGACAAAAACAAACAAACAAACAAACAAATTTACATGTTAACCCTAAAAAAACAAAAAACAGGAAACACTTCACATTAAATTCTCTATTTTTACCAAAGGAAAAAAAAAATCTCTTTTACAGTGTTTGATTGTACAAATCAGCAAATTATGCTGTCACTTTTCAAATAATTTCTGTTATTTTAAATAGAAAATGTGTGTATTAAGGTTTAAAAAATGCTCAATAATTATTTTAACAGGTTTTCCCTGTTTTTTAAATTACAGATAAAAACTACTGAAAATAATGTAAATAATGTTGAATGTTATTTTTTTAACGAAGACAAATTTTATTTTTTGTTAAATTAACTGGTTTCATTGTATTTATATCAGCCTAAATGTATAAAGTTATTTTACAGATAATTTCTATTTTTTGAAAAAAAGAAAAAAAAAAGTATTACGTCGTGGAAAATGCTCAATAATTATTTTAACTGTTATTTTACAGATGATCCCGTTTTGTTAAAGTACAAATATTAACTAATAACATTACTGAAAAAAAAGTTAATTTACATGTTGACTGCAAACATAAATACATATAAATATTGTTCACATCAAAAATCTGTTTTTTATAAATAGTTCATAAATAGTTAACGCCGACGTGTGCAGCTTCAGTCACACACACCTGGTTTTATTATCCAGCTGTAGACCTGCCCGTCTGCACACAGCAGACAGCAGACGGGTTTCATGTAATATTAATCCACATAAAGTCACATATTGTACGTGCTACGACCCCGTAGACGCTTCCAACAGGCGGTTTGATGACTTTCGGTTGTTCGTTTGTTCGTGTGTTTGCAGTGCGACAGTCTGCAGGGTCCAGCTGCTCACCTGGTGTGTGTTTGTTTGTGTGTTTGTTTGTGTGTTTACATGTGTGTGTTTTGTCCTTCACCTCCCCTACACCTCCCCTCGCTACATCCCAGCTTCCCTCGGGTCACGTTACCCAGACAACGGTGGGGGGATGCTGCCTGGTTGCCATGGTGACGCTCCCAGTTGGGGAAGCTGGTTTGTTTGGGCAACCTCCTCCTTTTTCTTTTTCTTTTTTTTCTTTTTTAAACCCGCCGGTGCCAGAAGCTGCTGGACGAAAGAACAGACAACAGCAGCTGGAGGCGAATTCTCCTGTAAGATTACAGACAGCTGTGGTCGCCTGTGTTTCACTGTTTTATTGTTTCTTTGGAGAGGATTTAATTAATGAAATAATCAGATTCAGTCCAGATCTTATCGCCTTCATCATCTTCATCATGTCTGGTCCAATCAGGACGAAGCTCTCGTCTCCAACACTTAAATCTGCATCATTTATTCACATTAAATCAAAGTTTTATTTCTCATTTTATAACACAAAGAAAGAAAAAGACAAGTTTTCGCTACGTGGTCAAAAAAAAAGATCGATAATTTATATTAAAATATTTCAGAACTTTTAAAATTACTGTCATTTTACAGATTTGTTTTGGTAAAATACAAATAAATGATCAGTGTTTGACTGAACAATCGCAAAGCTTTTAACTGTATTTACAGCCAATAAAATGTCATTATTTCACATATTTTAATGTTTTAATGTTGAAAATTGCTGAGAATGTAAAAATATTTTTATAATTTAAAGTATATTTTATTCATGTTTCCCAATGTTTTGTCATATTTTCAGACATTTTATT